CCCAAATATCAAATACTCCCACTGTATCATAACATACCACAAAATGGCAGTATCTAATATGAGAGGGGTGCCGGGGAGGTTTATGTTAGGGGGATGGAGGTATTTGCTGAACATAGCCCTGAATGGGTGTTTCAATAAGGGGGCCGTGCAGTTGTACACCGTAATGTACTTAGGTTCCTGTGCTCCTTTCCTCAACACCAGAACCCTAGACCGTGATTTCTACTCTAGACTCTAAGCCCTGGACCCTAGATCCTGAATCTAAAACCCCAACCCCTTTGGCTTGGGCCAGCGCTCTTCAAACGAAGCTTCCACCGGGGCCTGTTTGACGGGCCCGCTTTCCCAACATAACTTGGTTTGAGGTTTAGGGTTCAGGGTAAGTTGCAGGGGTTGCAGGACCCTGCCCGAACCCCGCCTGATTCTGAAAAACGAGGCGTCATCTTAAAGCTGAACTCCAGTCACTCTAAGCTCTTTCTACGGAAGCCTTGGCTCAAAAACAGAATTGGTCTCTTTCTCTCGGAGCCACACAGAATTGTGTGCTGAGAGCTTCAAGGAAAACCCTATATCGGAAAAAGTCACCTAAGTTCACTTTATTTTGACCTAGTTCGTGTCTCATCTCAATATGAACCCTGAATGGTGCAAGTATGCAATCCTGGGTTAGCCCCTGAAACCCTTTGAACAATATTAGTATATAGGGTCCCGTATTAAAGCCATTAGGGAAAATGTTAAATATCCTAGGGGCCTACCCAGCCCTTAACTCTACAATAGCCCCTTCTTCGTCCCCGCCCCCCGTCTGAAGAAAAAAAGCCCGGCCGCGGCCAGCTTGCCGCTGTCACTGACGAGGGACAGCCAAGTATCGCGCCTGGTTTTGCAAAGGGCACTAACCCAAACCCCTCATCCATAAACCCAATGCCCTTAGCAGGGATCATAATAGGGATTCTAATAATTAGGCCCTTAAACGGAGGAGGTTTATTAAGCATGGGCAATCCCCCTAATAGGGATCATAATAGGAATCCAAATATTTAGGCCCTCAAAAGGAAGAGGTGTATTAATCATGGGCAATCCCCCTAATAGGGATCATAAAAGGAATCCTAATATTTAGGCCCTTAAAAGGAGGAGGTTTGTAAATCATCGGCAATCTCCCTAATAGGGATCATAATAGTGATCCTAATATTTAGGCCCTTATGGATCATAATTGGGATCCTAAGATTTAGGACCTTAACAGGAGGAGGTTTATTAATCATGGGTCTACATTAGACCCTAAGCCCTAAATAGTAGCTTCCGTTTTCTTTTCCATTATCCCAACATAACCCCTATATACCCGCATATACCTATATAAGCCTATAAACCCCCTAGATTAAGCCCTTGGTGTTTAAGGTCCTGGAATCAAAAGGTTGGGCTGACGGATGAAGATGTACGAGCAACTTTTGCACACTCTTTCTTTGGCGATGTTCTGTACAAGCCGTGAAAAAATGAGGATCTTGGGGATGATGGAGAGTGATGGTGATACATAGGGTTTAGGGAGTTAAGTGCGTGGAATATGGGGTATATGGGGACCTTTTTCTAATATACCAAAGCCATATTCTATCTACTTCAGGGGGCCTATATACTGTAGGTTCTAAGGTTAGGGTAGTTTGGCCCTTGCTGCAACCCCACCTTGGACCCACCATCTTGCCTCGAGCTCAGCTATGCTTGCCCTAAACATACTAATGTAGACCCATGACTAATAAACCTCCTTTTAAAGGCCGTAATATTCGGATCCCAATTAAAATCCCTATTAAGGGGAGGAAGTTTATCACTCAGGGGTTACCCAACGCCTCGTAAGAATACCCTCGCACCCAGAATCAAAACAACAAACAAATCCTCCCAGTAGGTTGACATTCTCTACTACCCGATCTATTAGGCATTCTATACTCCCATGTTCCCCGCGACAGGAAAGCAACCAACCTGAACCATAAACCTTGCGCCATTGAGCCCGAGAATTTGCGCCGGGGCGGCAGGAATGTGCTCAGGGGCAAGCGCCATTCCTGATCAAATGATGGATGCAGCTGGTCTATCTTTGATACGACTCTGTGGATGGTTTCGGGTTTTAGTGGTGAAGGTCCTGTCTAGAAAGGTCTAGAAGACCTACACTGCGCATTTGAAAGACTGAGGCAACGCCATATTGAAATAATACAGCTTAGAACCTTACTCCCTTGTGGGCATCCGTCCCTTTTGAGTGCTGCTTGCTACTTGTTCGGAGGCTTGGTGCTTATCCTCAAACGGGGGGTACGCCCAAATTTGGGACTTAGCCAGCTGTGAACTTCTCCAAGGATGAGCGCCCAGCTTGTGTCACCGTTGTGGGATCGACATTTTGATGACATTAGGTGTTACCTTCCCGCCGCATCCCGCATCCTCCCCCGAACTAAGACCAAAGGACCAGGAAAATCTAGGAAAGGCCACGATAACCTGCTAGCCAGAAACGCGTTCGTTTGCTGGCTCCTGAAGTACGGCCTCTTTTCAAGCTAGCCTGAATCGCCCTAACCCTGTCAAGCTCTTGTCATAGCCCAGGTGAGGATTCAATGTGTAATGTAGACCCCTGATTAATGAACACCCCCCCTTTCATGGTGGTTATAACGGGGATCCTAATATTAAGGCCCTTAAAAGGAGAATGTTTATTAACTGGGGATCTACATTAAGTTTTATGGAAGGATGTAGACCATCCTGCCCTCCCCCAAGTAACATGGAAACCCTTTCAAGGCCACTTTAACAAACTATCCTTCCCAAAGTTTAGGGTTTAGGGTCTGGAGTTCATGCTAGATTTGGCAGGGTCGCCGCCCTTGTGTTGGATCTCCGGAAAGTCTGATCCCACACCACTATGATCCCACCCACTTTGGATTGAACAAGTCGGGTGCAAAGTTTATAGGGGAAACATGCGGCTCCCTGTTCAGCACCATAAAGAACGATGCCGGTATAGGCATGTGGAAGGTTTCAATCAGACGGGCGCTTGTCATGAACAGTTTTTGCACGCATATACAATGTTCAGGCGCCCTTTACGCACTTGTGGCTGCCTGTAAACGAGGTCTTGTTTTCATAGCCACCCATGCGCATCCCTGTTTCGACAGTTCAGCTCGCCAGGCCTAGCATTGGATTTTTTGCATTCTCAGGGATCCCCAATATCATACAGGGGCTTGGATAAGTCCAACATGGTTTCCGGGTGCATTCTATCATACGCAATACAATACGCGCATGACCCTTCCAAATCATTCAGGCTTCTACGATGCGTGCAGCCAATGTAGTATTCATAGTATCCTGAAAGCAGAACTGCCTCGGCTTCGGGGGTAAGAATGCAATTGCTTAGCAAAATGTCAAACTCCCTGGACCTGCGAGTTAGCGTGCTCACTGCCGATGCACGCTTACAAATCTGCTTGGTCTGGTTGTAGGGCAGGCCGTCTTCCAAATTCTTTCCGAAGCATCCTTAAATCATCCCTGGGGATCTCCAGAGCTGATCTAATTACAGAATATCTTATATCGAATTCATAACCCGTGTGTCCACCTGCGCCGCGCGCCCGTCGCTCTGATTCTGCGCATAAATACATAAATATATATATATATATACATATATATTGGTGTCTTTCAATTAGCAACTCATTGGCAAGAGCACCGCGGCACCGCGCCTGTGACTGATGCAGAGCTTGCGAAGGTTTCATGGATATTTTTGGCTGGGGCTTTGAAACGAGCCGCCGAGTGTCTTGTGCAAAGACCACAATTCCTATGGACGCAAAGTTGTCTTCCGGACCGACAGTCTCGATATTGAAGAATCTTTCGTAATTGCCGGCGCATGCGCGGTCAGCAATTGTTCCAAAGATTGGGAGGCTCACTTCTGAAGGTTGCCCAAGCAAAAGGTTTGTGTGGGGAGCCCTAAAGGGATCCTGCGTTGCAGAAATTCCTTTGCGTTTGGCTATTTAATCCCCTGCCATCAAGTTACAGCTAACCCAATTGAATTTCGCCTTGTTTCGCGCTGGCGCTCACGACAACTTCGTTTGAAGCGACGAGTAGCTTGCAAATGAACACGATCTTTTAAGCCACCACAACTCTTGGGGGCAGCAGGTGGCCGTCAATCACAAAATCAACATAATGCAAGAGCTGGACTCCATGCAGTCAAACAACAGACGAAGTACTTTCGCGCGATCTTGCAACCATGCCCTGACCTCGATGAACGTATCGTGGCCGCGCATCTTTTGAAAATCCGGTTTCTCTAAGGTATCGACTCTCAAGGAGCAGAATTCTGACTATCCTGGGCGTGGGCTGAATAGGGCGGATGTAGACACAGTGAGAAAGTTCATCTGTCAAGTACATCCAAATCTGGACAATAATTTCCTGGCATTGTTATCCGGGATACCAGCGCATGCTGCATCAGGCAATTTAAATGTGCAGACCGTTTTTGAAGACCCTTTGGAACTATTCAGAAAGCGGCCAAGGAAACAAAAGGGACTATGTTACATCTTTATATACGGAGGCATAGAAGTAATATGCTGTAGTTAACCATATGGAAGTGGATACAACATTCCGGAAGTTAGAACTACGGAGGTTATAGACAGGCTGATGCAGAGAGAGAGAGATGAGAAAGGAGAGTGGAAAGCCGCCACTAACATCCGAACATTGGCGTTGAGGGCAATACGAACAATGCATAACCATGTATATGGCTGCATTCCCAAATAGATCCACATAATTCATACCTACATTGGGCTCAAAAGTCAGCAAATATTGCCTACATTGGGCTATTTGGATCCCTCGGTAATATTTTGAAAGCCGCACCAGCCCACAAAAAATCCTTTAAAAGCCATACTTAAAAGAAACGCCCTGCCTAAACCATCCTAAACGGCTATACCCTACCCCCATCTTAAGATACCCAAGTTTGAAACTAATATCTTGGTACTCCTAAGCCCCAAACCCGAAACCGCATGAAGTGAAGTCGAGGCCAGGACTTGAAAGTGTGCGAGAAAGTCTTCTCCACCTCAAGTGCCATCAGGTTGTCGAGGGTCTTTTTTGTGTTTTAGTTTTGCGCAGCACTTTCTTCGATCCGTTCGCACGGACGAAAGCTCCAGGGAGCCGGTGCAAGTTCAAGGAAATGCGCCCAAACTACAGCAAATCCTAAAGCCCTATGAACTCTGACCCTGACCCGTGAGTAATACACCCCCTCCCCTTAATCGGGATAATAATAGGGATCCTAATATTAAGGCCCTTGAAAGGAGGGGGTCATGTGTCTACATTATACTTCTTTTCGGCCCCTGCGCAGCCCACCACTATGACCCTATGAGGACTGGGAAGCCCCGTAAACCCCATAATCTCTTTGATCGCAGCCCTCTGACTGGGCTAGGTTTGGGGGGCCTAAAATTGAAAATTCAAATTTCTATCGCTTTATGAGGATTACATATGAAATAAGGGTCACACAACCCTAAACCCCTAAACCTTCCGACCCCGCGTTTTGCCGAGTCGTGACAAGTTGGGCGCCTAATTTGGCTGGCACGAGCAGGGGATTTGGGCTCCGGGACCGGCTTTTGCCAGGCTGCGGATTTTCCAAAGTCCGCAGCCGAGCTCTTTCTCAGCATAAGCACTCAGCAGACGAGCTTTCAAGCAAAGTGCTGGAAGTCGCACGAGGGCTACACTTTCGGGCACAAGCATGTTGAGAAAGTATTTCTCAAGGACTGCATTAAAAGGATGTTTTGGGCACTATGGTTTTCAATGTTTTTGGGGACCTAGTGTTCCAGCTTCTCCCAAGGCCGAGGCTCTTCGAGCTGGTCGTATGGGTTTACTCCAAGCTCATCTACATTGCAGGGCTTTGTACATGCGAAATGCTCGCAAGAAGTTCAAGAGTCCTGGACGATGGATGCACCAGCCACTGTGCAGCTAGAAAACTTTTGGAGACATTCGGAGCCGCTTTTCGGACCATGGCATTGACTCTTCTGAGCTGATGTTTGGCAGCACTAAAGACAAATATCATGCCTAGGCACACGTCTCGCATCAGCAAAGCTGTGCTCCTCTCGGAAGTCCAGGTCAGCGCTAGCTGCTGGAGAGCCAACGCGCGGCAGAATACATACCTCGCCAAGTATGTCAGGACGAGTTTGCCATCCAGCACGAGAGTCTCCTTGCCAAGAGCCATCTTCGGCAGAAACTCGCGCGGAAAACCGCGAGCCCGCCGCGACACCAGAACAAACCATCCAGCCAACGCTGGCAAAGCAAAACTAGTCTCCAGAGTCGACTGCACAGAAAGGCGAGCCAGCACAGCAGACTCCACCCGCAAGCTGCCAAAAGGCATGCGAGGTCCTAGCGTGGCGGTGCCGCTGCAAGTAACACCGCAGATGAACATTTCCCACATTCGGATCAGACCTGAAAACCAAGTGACTGCAGCGACTGGATATGCTCAATGGGATAAAGCTCTATGCTCCACTGTCAGAAAGGCGACCCCAAACACTCCAAAGATTCAGAAATGAGCTGGAAAGTTGACAGATATGAATGGGCTCGACCCCGATCAGCCCCCCGCCCCCACAAGATGCAGAAATAAACTGGAAAGTTGACAAAACTAAATGGGCTCGACCTTGAACGTAATCAGCCCCCCCACCCCCTGCCCACCCGCCCTCAAAAAAAAAACGTTGAATTGTATGGTGCAAAAGTCGGATGACGTGGGACTGTATGGTGCAAAAGTCGGCATTACATGGGGTCGGAGGGCTAAACCCCAAACCCGAAACCCACACATATTCAACACATGTTAAAGCCTACCCCTCTGTGAACCCTATACTGCTGGGTTGGCCCCTGAAACCCTTTGAAAAATATTAGTATATAGGGTCCCTTATTAAAGCCATTAGGGAAAATATTAAATATCCTAGGAGCCTACCCAGTCTAAAGCCCCATTGTCCCAACACTTTCCCTTAGGCCAGGGCTAAAGGTGCCTGCAGGCCAGCCTCCGGTTCTGGGCTTTATGGTTTAGGGGCTGAGGGCTCAAGTTTTATGGGTCTAAATTAAATTACCATAATATAGGAGTATATGA